TTGCTGTACTTCAAAAAACTTTTGGAACTTTAAAGAAATCTTTCTGCTGAATTAATGTGAGCCACAGCCAAATGCAGGGGTTATTGACTTCATGTAGCCCAATTCATTTTTATTATAGATGGTAAAACTGAAAATCATCAAGGGGAAATAGAATGTCAACATTTAAGATTTATAAACTGCCTGTTGGGAATGGTGGTCTTGGACCTAGAGATATTATTCAAAAGGAAGTTGGGAAGTGAGAATGTTAGGTAACTGGTTGGGGAAGATAAAGAAAAAACTTATTGACAAGTACAATTAAGATACTGTAGACTGAGCATATAATTTCCATGCCTAAGTTAGGTAATAAACACTATATTGTATGAAGATAATTATAGATCTTTTTTTCTTTGAGAAAATTATTTTGAAGCCTATATTTTAAAGAAAAAGGTGTGTCTCACAAAGAATCAAGAATTTCTTACTCTTTAAGTAAAATATTAGGGTTCTCTAGAAAAACAAAACCAATAGGATATATGTGTGAATAGATGATGATGATAGGTAGGTAGGTAGGTAGGTAGGTAGGTAGGTAGGTAGGTAGGTAGATAGATGATAGATAGATAGATAGATAGATAGATAGATAGATAGATAGATAGATAGATAGATAGATAGGTGATAGATTATAAGGAATTAGCTCACATAATTATGGAGGCTGACAAGTCCCAAGTTCTATAGTTGACAAGCTGGAGAGGCAAGGTGTAGTGCCAGATCCAGCCTGAGAACTAGGAGATGTTTTATTTCAAGTCAGAAGGCTGGAAAATACCATGTCCTAGTTCAAGGCGGTCAGGCAGAAGGAGTTCCCTCTTATTTAGCCTTTTTGTTCTGTAGAATGTACCATATAATGATGTTTTTGGTCAATGGTGGGCTGCCAACGATGGTGGTCCCATAAGATTACAATGGAGCTGAAAAATCCTGTCACCTAGTGATGGTATTACATCATAGCATAACACATTACTTGTTTGTGGTGATGCTGGGGGAAACAAACCTACTGTGCTGCCAGTTATATAAAAGCAAAGTACATACAATTACATACAGTGCATAATACTTAATACTGATAATAAATGACTGTTACTGGTTTATGTGTTCACTATACTATACTTTTTGTCATTATTTTAAAGTGTACCCTTTCTACTTACTTTAAAAAAGGTTTGCTGTAAAACAGCAAGTCGTGTTACACCAGTAGCAGCCTCATACATCTTGTGTTACTGAGTCTCTTGGTTACATCAATTTCTCTTGTGCTTGATTTAATCTCGTGTAGTTTTGTACAGTAAATGTGCTATACAGACTTGCAGCCTAGAGGCAGTAGCTTAGGTGTATAGTAGGCTATACCATCTAGGTTTGCATAAGTGTATTCTATGTTTGCACAAAATCAAAATTGCCTAGCAATACATTTTTTAGAACACATCTCTGCCATTAAGTAGTATATGACTGTATTCAGTCCTTCAACTGATTGGTTGAGGCCCACCCACGTTAGGGAGGGCAATCTGCTTTACTCAGTCTACTGATTCAAATATTAATCTTATCCAGAAATACCCTCAAAAATCACACCCAGAATAATGTTTGACCAAATGTCTAGGCTCCCCATAGCCCAGTCAAGTTGACACATAAAAGTAATCATCACAGGTACACAAAGGCATAAAGATAAAACTGAAATTATTGAAGCTTAAATGTAGAAAAATATGAGAGAAAAACAAGAAACATAATGAGAATGAAGATAATAGGCAGAAATCTGTGAGTCAGTCAGACTTTAAAGACCACATTGAAGTTAGATAGTAGTGAATTAACATAGATCCTGGAACAAGAATTGTGGACATTACATTTGAGGAAGATTGTTTTAGCACATAAATCTAGGATGCAGCACAATATGGAGACATTGAAATTTAGAAACCAGTAAGTAAAAAGCCCCAAAGACCTAGATTGGGATGAATACTATGGAAGTGTAGAGCAATGTCAAGACCCTGAGCAGATGAAAACAAACTACAAAATCAACAGAAGTTGGTGAAAATAACAGAAGAGAAGTTGAATCTGAATGTTGGTATCATTGCTAACAATGAGAAATTTAGAAAAGATTCATTTCTGGGAGTCAAAGATGAGGCATTTAAGATGACATGTAAAATTTAAAGTGTATCTTTTAATCTTTGACCTCCAAATACAGCATGAAATATTAAAATGCCAACATGATGAATGTTAATATGCTAGGGGAAATCTTTGTCTTTTAAACCCTTACTACAAGTGTATTATTATTTTTTGTTTACTTTAAAGCATAGAAATATTTATCAGAAAACAATTGCTGTAAATGAGTTGCTATCATGGAAAAAATAATAATGTCTGTTAGCAAAATATCTTACTAAGTTACAAATAAATCTCGGTAAGGTTGCTATTACCATACCTTTATCCCATATAGTTAAGAAAATTAACTTTGTATACTCATTCAACTATCAATTGGTCTTAAAGTATTTCTCTACTCTGTCATTTCTTGCGTATTTTATAATGCAATTAAATGTATATTTTGTTGTAATAAAGTTATTAAATGTGCCATTATTTCATACTATTTAAGTTACTGACTTGCTAGAGTGAATAGTGAAGTATGACTTCCATTTATTTTCAAGGATTAAGAAATTAAGGGATTTCTAAAAATATAGAATCAACTTTTTAAGCATGGAAGGTGTCAGGAATGTTTTTCGATTTGGGGTTTCCTCATTCTAGTATTTTTTTTCACAGTAAATGCACCCATCCTAAGCTCTGCATCCTATGGAACTGGACTGCCAGGCTGCTCATCTGTGTTTTAAGCTTGTGTTGTTAAAGAGGAGTTTCCTGACTCTTTCTAGTAGATGTAGAGAAATACTTCGAGAAGTAAGCTAATGGGTAATACACACTTTAGTGTGATCACTGGAATCAGCTAATTAGATTGCTCCCCTCACTCAGCAGAGGAGGTCAGAGTTTGAGAGGTAAATATGGGACATGGAACACATGGGGGCCAGACAGGCTTGGTGAGGTTACAAAGGTGGCTTTCAGTCCCGCGGGTTCACTTCTTGGGCGTCCAGGGCGCATTAGTGAGAGCTCGCAGTACTAGTGCTAGTAAGGATACTACCTTAGGGGAGGGAAATTAGCAAATCGGGTAGATGAAACTAAAGCTAAAGATCTCATGCTAATTAACCATGACACAAATTCTAGATCCCTCCCTTCATTAGTGATGTACTGGTTTTGAAAGGTGTTTTAAAATGTCTAACTCTTCTATGTCTTTATTTTTCATTTTCTCTTTTTTCCTGGTTAATGTGTTTGTAAACTCACATTTTTGAGAGTGTTATAAATACAGATTATTTAGATGTAGTGTGTATAAACAACTGAGTAACGGGAAAGCTGTTTAGGGATGTATACTTACCCTGACCCTTTCTTAACATGAGTAAAATTACTGATATCTGTGTAGTACTTGACAGTGCTGCCTCCTGGTTCTCTGTATGTGTGCAGATGAGTGGAGATTGAGTACATAGTCTTCTTCACACTGATTGCATGTATTTTAGACTGATAGAAATATTTTTATTTGGGAAAAAAATACATTTGTATATATATTTCCCTGGTACTCTTCCAGGTTTTAGAAAAATATGTTTAAATTTTTTCTGCTGAAAACTTTGTTTCTTTCTGGATAGGTACATCATCTTTTTAAAAAACCTTTCCCCCAGGATTTCTTTTTAAATGGTTCACAGTTAAATTTAAATTTCTATATTTAGGTAGAATTATGTTTATATACCAACCACCAGTATCCAGGAAGTTCAGTGGTAAGGCTGACACATAGGGAGTTTGTAGTCTATTTTGTAGTCTGTGTATTTAGACAAGGTTTGAAGCTTACTTAGCAAAATCGTTTAAACATTCAAGCAGAATTTCTTTAGTACAAATGCACTATTTGATTTCTTATAATTGTTAAGATAACAGTGTGTCACTTTGTAAAGATTAGTTCTCAGTAATATGCGTTAGATGTATTCCTTTCACAGAATGATGCATTCAGGAACAGCTTTTATATGTAAATATTTTTGTAATATTGGACAGAGTTGGTTTGGTGCAATCACCATGGTTTGATCAAGTTTGAAAGAAGTTACAGGCACATTTTTATAGTGTTTTCTCCAGCATCTTTATTTTGTTCAGCTGGATGTATTTTATGTTCCTTCCAACTAATCAAAATAAGAAACTGGTTTTGCCTGTGCCAAAAAATAGGACTATCATTTTTCACATTCTTTTATTTTCCAGGTCATTTTCAAGTAAGATTGTGTTTCTAGGACTTCTGAATTCCAAAAAACTCCCAACTTTGTAGATATAAGGGCCCAGATGAGCATTTCAGGGGGACTCTAACTTTTCGTGCAGTATGTTTTGTGTTGTGCGTTCCAGATACAGTTAACTTTTTGTGTGCATGTGATTAGTGTGGAAAGAAATTAATGCAGTCCCGTATTATGATTTATGGACTGAATCCTTTGCCCACTGAAGACTTGCCAAAACTAAAACTATTTTTTTTCCTTTGGATATTAGAAACAGCTACTGTTTTTGTTGATCTTTTAAAGGTCTGAATGGGCCTATTTCAAATCATACCAGCATGGGAGCTCAGATTAATAATATACTTATTCAACTAGTGATACTGAGTGAAACCATTGCTCACATGGATATGAGGATACAATTTCATAAAATTATTTTCAGGTGCATTAATGCATTTCTGGAAGCTGCACATGATTTTTCTTTTGCATGAAAGAAATCAAGGATTTCTGTTTATTGTATCAGTTACAGGTGGGCTTATAAGTTAATTTAATTGCATTTTTATACCCTAAAACATAAGACATTTTACTTTTAAAAACAGTAATGTGATGGCTGGATTGTCCCCCCAAAATTTTAACTTTCAGTGTATTTGTCTTTCTTGAGACATCACGACTGTCATGTATTTAATTTAGATTATTGAGAAAAATTCCTATATTTTTTGTTGTTAGTTACAGCAAGCTGCTGAAGTTTCTCAGCTCCGGGGTGCAAGGGTAATATCTGCTGAAGATCTTCTGTTTTTGATGCGAAAAGATAAGGTAATACAAAAATGTTTTACTGAATTAAAATGCCATGTCTGGTGCTTAATTATACTTATGTGAGGAAACTAAATATCCTTGTTATATAGCTTTCAGATTGGAATCATAACTATTGAACTGCTATTGTAGTCTTCATAGTTTGCATGAAAAAATGGTTTACTATAAGAGAATTGATTTTTTTATAACATGGGCAAGGGCACGTGTGTAAAATAATGTTGACAATGAATTCTCACTTATCCATACACACCTATTCAGACATGTTCATTGCTATATAATATTCTTTAGATATTCACTGTTGTGATATGTGAGATATAACTGAGTGGCATATTTATTTTTATTCTAATTTTATACAGTATTACAGGCTTTCAGAGAGTAATATTTTTACCTTAAAATGCAAAGTTTATTCTATGACTAGTTTATATTAGATAATCAAGATGTATATTCCAATAGCATATATATATACCATAATGTCTAGCGTTTTTATATGTAAAGATCTGCTTTTTTTATTCTTTGAATACTGGTATAAGAATATCTAAGCTGGTATTTACATGTCTAATTTTGTCATAACTCTTTTCCATGAATACTAGTTGAAAATATTTTATAAAATTTTACGTTTTATTACGTTTCATCTAAAAGTTACCTGTAAAAAACTGAATCAGTGTGTTATGGCAGATGCTCTCGCAAGGGAGCGAGCCACTGCCCCTGGCTTTTCCTGGCCTTTGAATTCCTTGCCCGTTCCTCTGCCCCAGGTTCCTGTGCCTGCGGCTCTGCTTGTCACCAAGCGCTTCCCGTCTGACCTTTCGGGTAAACTTTCGGCTCATTAAGGCCCAGACAGGATGAGAGAGAGAAGAGATGTCTTCACTTTCAAGAAGCTATAACCTAGTTTAGAAAACCAGTATGATTTAGTCGAAAGAAGCATTTTAAGACTCAGAGAATGTTAAGATTATGTGACTAGATGTAGAGGCCGTAGGACTTTTCGAAGCGGGGGTTTCTGCCCGGGTGAGGCTCAGGCACTTATATGCAGAATGGACCCAATGCAGGAGAACTGACCGGACTCGGGTGGAGTGATCAGGCCAAAGTGTGATGCCTGCGAGGCCCTGGAAGTGGGTAGGAGGGGAGAGGCCAGAGGCACAGCGCAGAGTGAAAGCCTGCAGGCTGGGTGACCTCCTGACCTTGGAGGGCGAGGGAGGAGGCCAGGGCGCTGCGAGGACCCGGCCGAAGCGCTGCCGGCTCCCTGGAAGGCAGCTGGGGAACTGGAGTTCGCAGGACACCTCTAGGCAGTTCTTCTTTTTCACTGACAGAGGCAGAGAGGCAAGCGCGAGAAATCCAGCCGCGCTGGCACGCTCGCCTGCCTCTGGGGGCAAGTCGGTTTAAAATCGTGCCGGAGCTCCAGGAGCAGATGCTCCCTGACAGCGCCC